TTTCTTTAAATATAAAAATAATATAATTTGATTAGTTGATTATCATGGGTAATCACAGGTAGATTTACAAAAATTGACCAATTAGGTGAATATTTTCTCATGACCTTTAACCCCAAATATCTTGAGATCTACCAGACCGATTTTGATAATTTAACTACTATTAGAACTAGAAAAATCTTCTTTACAAGTTTACTTAAAGCTGAAAAAAAAGTTTACTTATTAGTTTTAGGGTTAGATTTAGAATCAAAAGAATTATAATATTAGAACCTAAAGTTAGAGTTATGAGTTTTTTATATTATTGTCTAAAAATAAAAAATCTTGTATAACCATGGCAAAAATAGCAAATTGCCATGGTAGAAATAGTAGCTCCCTATATATATTATATAATAAATTATATTTAGATATACTATTTGACCAATTTGACCAGACTGGTCAAATTGGTTAAATTGGTCTGGTCCAATGGTCAAACTGGTTTGGTCAAAAAAAATAAGTGCTTTAACCTTAATATCTAAATATTTTTTAAGTTCAAACATACTAAAATTATTTGTGTATGTATCGTATCGATTACCTTCCATTCGTTAAGACAGATAACACCAACGGATCTTGAAAGATATATACATTTTAAACTACTGTATTGATTACCGAACAAATACAAATCAAAGCTACAAGTGTTTTGCATATAGATTAAATTGTGAGGGACCAACATGAGGTGAGGTCAATTAGTATTTTTTATGATTATTAATCACTGGCGGACTTTAAATACTAATTGATCTCACGTTGGAACCAACCTCATGTTGGAATTTAATTATTATTATATTATTATTCTATATCGAAATCATATGATTTGCACACATTTTGCATATGGCTCAATTCATGTAATATGAATGGCTTAAGGGATCAAAAATTATTAAATATATTCAAAGATAGTTAATGCAAATTTGTTTTTATTTCACACATTTATAGTCAATGAAAAAATGGGTTACATGAATTTCAACGAATAGATGGTCAGGATATCCGGTTCAGATTTTATTATCGATTTGTGTATGACTACGTATATGTTTAGACGGTTATAAAATGGACCTTTACAACGGTATTCACCAATTGAGATTCATTGACAAACAAAGTTTTTCTTTAACATTTTCATTTTATAAATGTAATAGCTTTTGTAAGAATATAACGTATAATTATGAAATCATGCATCCCTGCAGCTTATTTCGAGACGTTCGTACGTTATTTCGAAAATAAAGAGTCAATTTTTGGAACCAAATATACATACGTACGTACGTACAGTACATACATACATACGTATATCAATGTCAATCTGCTAATACATCTTATAACTGATAAGGTGAGCATTATTTCTGGACGTGCATTGGGCGTTATTTCAAATATGTTTTAAAGGAAGTAAATTCCGAAATAACGCACAAGCGTTATTTCATGACTAGTAACATTCCAAAAATAGATAATAAAACCCCGATGGTCCGTATTGATGTTTCTACAGATGTTATAACCAATAGTGTATTTAGTTCAAAATATATCAATAATTATATCGATATAGAGAAAATGCTATCATATGACTCCAATAAAGCTTCACGCTCATGTGACTAACCTATTAATCAGATCACAAAATTGGTTCGTGTTTTAATAATCTTGTAAAATTAACCATTTAATCGAGGCCCTGCTATTTGAGTCATATATGCGTGAAGGCGTTCGACTTCTGAAAAATTCTGACACATAACTATGTAAATAAATGCTAAAATTTTTATACATTAATAAAATATATCATTGTATATAGTAAATATATAATTTATTTTAAAAAGCTCTATAAATATATCTTTTTCTTATCTATACTGTATAAATTTAAATATATAAAAAAAAAAAAAATTTATTTGTATATTGGTTATTTATTTTTCAAACAATTAGTTATTTTTGAATGTGATCAGGTGTAAAAGGTTTGCAATTCTATATTTCGTAGTGTAATACCCCTTTTATTTGTAACGGTACGTACGTTTCAAATCTACTGGTATGGCATTTTGTAAGAGATTTGAGCATGAATTAATTTTTTTAATAATGCGACTGCAGCTTCTTTTTTATAGAACAAAAACATTCTCGCGACGTTGTAAGAAATTCACGGGTAGCTTCCCGTGATCTTGATACCTATTAGTATAATTATCACATGTAGTGATACTTTTCCACGGTAAACCTTCTTTTGACCTAACGGAACCACGTATGTACTGTACGTACGTACGTACGTACGTATGTGAATGTTCACTTTATTTTTTAACGCTAGTTATTATGTACAATATGTACGTACTGTACATACGACGTACTTAGGCTATTACTAAATTTATATAAATGACAGTGTAATGGATCAGGAGAGGAGAAATTCATCGAATTTCATAACGGTAATAATAAAACATACTATATACTCTATATAGATTATTTTATTATATAATTTACTATCCAAATTTATCTAATATAAGTTCACGAATTTCAAATAGTTACAGTGTGACAAATCAAAAGAATAGCCATATAAATATTTAATATCGAATTCTTTTTTCCTAACGTTAAGAGAACTTATACTGTAACAGTTACCGCTAAAATTAATACGTACTAATGATTTACTGTAATTCCAGCCATTTTAAATACCAAGTTTTAAACAAAAGGCAATTTTTAAAACGCCTTGTAGATCAAAGCGTTAACTAAAATGAATCTATTCGATATGTATTTTATGCACTTTTAAAAAAAAAGATGCAGTTTAATAAAACACCAGTTTAACAAGACGCCATGCAAAAGTTCATTTTTATCGTAATAAAGAATAATAAAGAAGTAATTTATACAATTAAACAATTAAGAATAACTAAGAATAACTAAGAATAACTAAGAATAACTAAGAATAACTAAGAATCGAGAACTTTTTGTAAGTCTCGGGGCGCGAGTACAATTGTCCCACGTAACCTAAAATTCGTGATACCTTTTTTTAGAAACTATGATCAACATTTTTGAAGGTTAATAAGTTACTTAACGTTAATGAATCAACATAATTTAGGCAGTTTATGATAAGCGTACTTTACTATATCGATATTTTCTCAAAAAAATTTTTACCGAGGAATTAAAATTTAATCTTGACGAAAAAATAACATATGATATAACATATGATATAACATATGATATAACATTTGATATAATGTATGATATTAAATTACGTAAAATTACTAAACTTCCATGGCACGTGAATCAGAATATAACTTTGTGTGATCTAATAATAGGAAAATTATCCTAATCGCGTTCTTGTATGAGTTCGTTGTAAGAAGTCGTGATTTCGGTTTTACTGTTTTGGATAAATTATCGGCCTGTAACCTAAAAAAGGTACTTTAAATTTAGTGAATTGAAATTCTATTTTGTGTACATGCGTTCATTCATTTGCTATGTATCAAAAATCGAAACATCATTTTGTGGCGTACTTAAAAAAAAGCTTTCGTTGTTTTATTTTATCTTTGTCTATATAGAAAGTATATTCAGTATATAGAAAGGAATATATATAATATTATATATATATTATATATATATTATATATATATTATATATATATTATATATATATTATATATATATTATATATATATCATGAGACACTTCCGGAACATCAACTTTAAAAATAAAGAATACTATATAACTACGTACAGTACATACATAACATACATAGCATACATAACATACATAACATACATAATATATACTATAATAATGGACTAGGCATTTCTTTTTTTTTTGTATGCATGTAACAAAAATTAACAAAATTAATCGTGGCTTTAAAAAATTTTTGCGGAACATTACAATGATAACACGGCGTAATTTTCTTTACATGATTGGTCGATGCATCATTAATTACGGTCTTTGATTACGGTCTTTGATGATTTTACATGGCGTATTTTCTCCTTAGATCATAATTTGTGATAATGACCAAAACTGTTTAAATATAACAACAGAGGGTTAAAAAATTAACAAGTTTCATTAAACTCAATACAACGAAAAGGAGAGAAGAATTCACAATGATGTAAATCCGAAATCCTAAATAACGATAAAGAAAATCGGATTCTATTCTTTATTTGTTCATGTGGCGTTTTTTGTCCTTGTAATAACTTGTAACATCCAGTATTTACTAAATAAACGCTAGTGCTACAGGGGAACCCAAATTTTATTTTAAATTATTAAAACTAGGAAAACATACATTTTTATAAAGAAAGATTATCAACGGTTGACATGAATGATGTCATGTGATACAAAATTACAAAATCAAAACCTTTAACCCAAAACATATCTTATTTACTATCAATATTAGAAGAAAGTGGATAAACCTGCACGAAACTTGCTGATAATCTGTTTAAAAACTTTCAAAGAACAATACACCGAGTAAAATAGCAATATAATTTCCCACACCAACTTGGATCTGTGATCATTATATGCTACACAGAAAAATATTTCGGTATAATTCGTTGTCAAAACATTAATTACTCTATGTGTATACATCACGTGAATAACGTAAATAACGTGAATTGAGGGAAATACCCTTTACGTATACCGAAAAGATAATACAATAAAAACTAAAATGTGATAAGATTATAAAAAGAATTGAATAATATATTGTAATATATTTAAAAAAAAAATCTAAAAATGTCCAAGTTTTAATAATTCATTTTTAATGAATGCAAAAATAGTTTTTTTTTTTTTTTTTTTTTTTTTTTCTTTCTTTCTATATATATACATTATATAAATATAAATAGCATGATCAAAAACCATCAGGCATTCTCGAGAAAAATTAGGGAACCTTTCCAAGATGTAATCCTTTAGTCATCGTATAGAGTACAGAGGAAAAATAAGCAAGATGCTAAAGAGCTAATAATTCGTTAGGAATTCCCCAAACGAGAAAAGAAAAAAAAAAAAAGAAAAAAAAAAAAAGAGGAATTGATGAGAATTTGAACAAATACAAATTAATAAAAATTAATAATCATTCCACCAAATAATATCATTTGTGTTTGATGGCCAAAAGAACCTTTTATGGTCAAACAAACATAGATACAAAACCGATCACCATTAAAATCAAAATAACAGAAATAAAACGTTCATACAATCCAGTCAGACATCCAGAATTATCTTCCTCCTCAACAGCATGGTATGAAGCTGGTAGTTGTGTGGTTTGATAATTATTATAATATGGATGAGAGCGTGGTAATTGATAGTAACCTAAAAATATATAATCCAAAATATAATCCAAAATATAATCCAAAATATAATCCAAAATATAAATTTAATAATCTAATCGATAATCTGATTAAATAATCTGATCTTGTAATGATGATAAGAGTAATTAATTTACCAGATCGATCTTGATTCAAACTTCCATAATATTGTCCACCTCCGTTATTGATATAGGGATCGGATTGATTATAGGGTAAGGGAGGTTGATTTGGCGATGCATAAATTATTGGATATTGTTGTTGTAGGTGTTGAGTTGGGTTGCTTTGATAAGGAATATAATGATTACATCGATAATTTTCAGGTATAGGAGGAATTGCTCGTGAATGGAAATGGTCGATAGATGATTCACCAACGCTGGATACCAGATCCTGCTGCCGATTAGTTTCTGTCCAACGAACATATTCCTCGTCCTGAAGTTTTTGAGCCAGACGAAAGTCTGAGTCTGGTAAATTTTCCGGGTGAGGATTTTGAGAATGTTGTTGTTGGGTCTTTATAAAAAAAAAAGAAAAAAAAATTTTTTTATTTAATAGATCGTTATAGTTTTAAACTAACTTAAACTGATTTACCAAGGCCAACCAAAAAAAAACAGTAAAGTGTAGCCAAGCCACAATATTCTTACCTGGGTCGTACTACCACCAGTGAACTGGTCAACCAGCGTATAGGGGGGAGGGGGTGTATGACCACTACGCTCTTCAGACTCATGAACTCGTTGCATTTTAAGAAGTTATTTTCGAAAGGAAAAGTATAGAATATTTGTAAAATTTCTACTCAGACGGATTTGAATATGTGGCTAACAATTATTTCCCTTTACGTTAAAAAGACAACGCTCATCAATTACATCAATTACGTCAGTTTAAAATCAGTTCATCTGATCTATCTTTATCTAATTCACCTGATTCAGGAGAACCTAAGAAAGATCCGGATTTACCGGTTTTTTTTTTTTTTTTACATAAATACTGTATATCGATATCGATATCGATATCGTTATTTTATTATCGTTATAATATAAGAATATATAATAATAAAATATTTAAAATACGTACTGAAATTTTGATTTAATAAATAAAAATGCTTTGGTTATCATGTTATCATTATCATACTGTCATATACATTATCGTTATCATATATTCATATATACAGTACATTATCGTTATCATATATTCATATATTCATATATACACAGTCAACACAGTCAACACAGTCACGTAGGTTACAATGGTGTAATAAAATTTCCAGGGGCCAAATGAAAAGTTCAGTTTGTAATACTGTAATAGTTAAAGTAGTACAATTGTACCAAAATAGTCGGCGAATAAAAGATTAGGGAAGCTTATATTTTACACAATGGCGAAACCAAAGAGAGTAAAAGGGTAAACATAAACTTATATGTGCACCAAATAGTACACCGCTTATAGATTAATAGTTCACTACATTTATAACTTTACAGTACTGTTTATGTTTACACTACTAATTACGGTTTACTGTAAATTACCTCAAATGTGTGTACCGGTACATATAAGTTTTTTTTTAATATTTATATAATTTATATAATTTATTATTAATATTAATAATAATAATAATAATTAATATATATAATTTTATATTATATAATTTTAATATAATTTATATACGTTTTATTTTATTTTTATTTTATTTTTATTTTATTTTATTTTATTTATTTTATTTTATTTTTTGTAACTTTAATAATTTACAAGATATTTAGATATATAAAGATGCGTGGCAAAGTCGATAAACAAAAACCGGTAATGTCCTAAACCTTCCAATCATCGTACAGACTAAATGCAGTCTCTAAATTTAATAAAAGCCACTCACCACGAACTTTTCTAAATGTCCGCGGTAAAAAATTTAAAATTTACTAATTGATTTCTTTTTTTTTTTTTGTAAATAAATACTCTATTAAACAAAAATATTACGGAAATATTACTATATTCAACCATGGTTCACCAACTTCCTACTAATGAGAAAGATTCAAAAAGGATATCTTTATTAGAACAACGTGTAGAAGATTTAGAAAATACATTATTAAGAACTGCTAATACCATTTTAGAGGCGAGAGTTGCAGAGTTAGAAACTTCTTTAAAAGAGTCAAATGAAGAATGTGATAAATTACGAAGAAGGCTAGCGGAAACGGAAATGGCCATGAGAAAAGATGTTTCCGATTGTGGTGATAGCGATATCGAAAATATTTGTGAAGATGTTTGTGAAGATACTTTTAAAGATATTGGTTTGGTCGGATTAGACGATGGTTCTGAAAATTCTGAGAATTCTGAAAATTCTGATAATTCCGATAATTCTGAAAATTCCGAGAATTCTGAAAATTCCGAAAATCCTAAAATCTTTGGCGAAAAAGAATTTGACCGTGTATATGGCCGTATATTAAAACTCGTTAATACTATGAAGTCTGATTGTACCACGGCCATCCATTTTAAAATTTCTATGTCAAGTTTACCTAAATTCCAAAGTCCAAAACTATCCAGCCCATCTGGCTCTCCAAGGACTCCTCCTGCTAGTCCTTTAACACCATCGTCTGCAAAGACTCCTCCTGTTAGTCCTTTCACACCATCGTCTGCAAAAATACCTATTCATTCGAGAACATCTAGCATGTCAACTGGTTTAATCTCTTCAAGACCCAATACGCCTTCCAGTAGTATCAAGCCACCTTCGAGCATTCCTAATAGTCCAATAATGTCACCTGCAAGGATTCCGGCTCCGTTGAAAACACAAGGTTTACCGTCCCCAAGTTCTTTACCAAATACTCCTACTTCCATTCGTTCTCCAACAACTTCGTTAAGTAATCCTGCGATTCAGCAAAGTTTAAGACTGTCAAGATCAAGAACTCCAAGTTTATCAAATTTATCAAATTTAGCATCAAGTTGTAATTATGATTCTTCAATACCAAGTCCTCTTGGTGCACAATCTTCCCAATCACCTAATGGAATTTCTTCGATACCAAGTTATCATTCAAACATTCCGTCGGGTCATGCACCAAAGCCTACTGGTACTGATACACTACTTATGCATGGTCGTGTTAAAAACAAATATTCTCAAAATTATTCCAACCTTACTCAATCTACACCATCATCTCAAGCGATTAAAGTATAGATTCTTTGCTATGATACTATAAAATCATATATTGATGTGTTTTTTTTCTTTTTTTCGTACTTTAATGTATATTTTTTTTTCTCTTATTATTTTCTTTGTATAAATCTTTATCTAATTTCATTCATACTCTTTTACACACACATCATTGCGTTTCATTATATATTATCAAAGATTTTGTAACGATAAATGTATATATATGTTTATTCTTTTCATTTTATACAGTATAATTTCTTTTTTTTTTTTTTTTTTTTTACATATCGAGAACAACAGTTAAAAATCATTTCTTTTTTTTTTTTTTTTCGAGGAACGGTATTATTTTTCAGGAAAAATTATTAATCGTTTCTTTTGTATAACGATAATTCAGTAATTTGTTTAATTATGTTTACAGTAAATTCGTCTACAAAATCTTTTTTCATTGGAAAAATTCTAAGCCAAAAATAATAAATAATAATGCTTTTTTTGTCACACACTAAACTTTTTGATCTGAATATGAATCTTGGTGTATTTAAACGTGATTTTTTTATTTCTTGCATTTAGCGAACTCAAAAAAGAATATCTCGTGGAAATAAGATCATTGTTTTTATCAATGCTTACACTACTTTTCCGTCATAAGATTCTCACGTTAATTTCCTGATTTCTAACCGGTATGTCATATGATTGAACATTCTCATGATTGAATGAATGCATAATTTTCAAGTCATTTTCAAGTTATTATATGAACGAAACTTCTTTTTAAAGTTTGGTCAATCCTTCTGCAGAAGGTGCACTTACTTCATGCAAACCAAACATCTTGCATGTAGATATCCAATTTTTGATCTAAACTGATCATCATTTTATACTTACTTTATTTGATTCCATCTAAAATGATTAACCTTTAGTATATTGTCATTGTATGCAGAAGCTAACCTTTTAGAAATCTACAAAAAAGTGCACAAAAGTGCCCAATTATCAAAGTTTTTGGAAATTTTTCATGTGCTTATTTTTTTTAAGGGGCTCGCATTGATTCGCATTGGTTATTAATCATTGGTCTGTTCTTTTCTTCCATTATTAGTGTTAAATAAAAAGATTAAAATTTTTTCTATATGGAATATTTGGTATTATCTCTTGATATTGATTTGTACGTAAAAATATTAATAATACTAAATGATAATATATAATATCGATAATAAATTATGATTACGATAATACATTATATAACAATAATAACAACTGTAATAATATATAAGATTAATATTATATAAGATTAATATTATATACAACGATAATAATATATAATCACAAGAATAATATAATAATGATAATAATATTGAACGTACGTATAATAAATTTTTTTTTTTTTTTACATGTCTATATATCGATATCTGATATTATAATTTATCGGTTTTATGTAATGGCAATCAGGAGCGCAAAAACCTTAAATTTATTAACAATTTTAGTAGTCAATTCTGATTGGTAAAGTCGAATATGACCAAATTTATTATTAATGAATTGTAATATATGAATAAAATTATCAATTATTAATAAATTTAAAGTGAACCGGTAAAATCGAAAAACATTTAATTTACATAATATTGTTTATGATACAACATATAACGTGTAATCAATCATGTTTACATAAATTACATAATTTACTTCTCTTTAAACGCGTTTTTATATTAACCAATTTATGTATGTTGATATTATTTTTCAATATTATCGATATTATCAAAATGTTACACACCCTTACTTTCTCACGTTGTAAACTTTGTAAAGCTAGTTGTAAAAAATCCCACCAATCTTTTTTTGTATCATAAAATATGTTACTCGGTTTTAATTCTCTTTTTCTTTCTTTTACTATCCCCTTTTGATAATGCATTCTTTTTTGGTAACGTTGATTCATTTGTAGATTCTTCACTAGCTTCTTCTGGAACCTCTTCATCCTCATGTTTGTTGTTTTGTTTTCTCCAATCAGTAGGATCTTTACGAAGTTGACTAGTGGTGTATAAGTCCGGAAGTATATCGACTGCGGCATTATGAAATAATTGTTAACAAATAGAACGAATAGTACTAATTTTTCATTTTCTTATTTACCTTTCATAGATCCAAATTTATTTATTTGATAAACCAATGGGTGATCCGTTGAACCCTTTTCGTACTACTCAAGAATAATATTATTATTAGTTCTGTTAATTCTATTAAATATCTTTTTTTTTATTACCAACCTTATTGTTGTCTCGTCTTAGGAAAAGAGTTATTAAACCTTCATCAATGTTACCATCATCCCTCGATGAACTCGAGACCCACAAATTGCCTTGAAGATCATATGCACAATCCAACGGATTTGCATTAAGTGATAACGTCTGCATATACTTGACATGGCGTTGCTCCGCATCCCAGTTTAATATTAGAACTCCTGGAAATCTTTTATATTGAAAATATTGAAAGGGTATAATTACGTCAAATTAAAGTTGATTAAACTATTTACATAAAAAAAAAAAAAATCATACTTTTCTATGATTATAGCAATGTGCTGCATAACAGTGCTGCTTGAAATAGACATAACTGCGACATTCTTTGATTCAGGTACGTTATTCATGGCATCAATGTCATCAATGTTTGATTCGTTTGCTTCAATGATCTTAATACAAAATGGTAATGTCAACAAAATTATAATGGAGCAAATATATATATATTTATAACGGCCATTGATCATGAGTATTACACTTTCTTTTTATTTCGTCATCCATGCTTGTTATATTACATGATTCTACGTCATCCATACTTATATTATATTGCTGCACTATACGAAAAAAACATAAAAAGTATAATTTATGATCAATGACCGCCGTACTATAATACCAAAATAGCATTATAATTCTGAGATGCATCACATTAGTAGGGAAAATAACGCGGCAAAAAAAAGTTGGCATGCCATTATGCCACGTGATAGGTATACTCAGTTTAGATTGGTCAGTTATCACGTACTATATAGATAGACTCCTTTCGGAATATTTCGGAACTTCGCTATTGACCTTTCTCGTAATCTATGTATACTCGGAATATTCCGAAATAACATATAAGTGGCATGCGGCATGCCTGTGACCTCCGTGCCACTCTCCCTACACATTAGTACAGCTTTGCGACATTCTCTGATCAAAAAATTATCACTGTACCAATGTAATGTTATATTATCATATACTAAATTATATAAATATATATATGTATATGTATATATGTGTATATGTATAAAATAAAATACGAAATAAAATACGAAATAAAATTACGAAATAAAATTACGAAATAAAAATATAATTTTACCTGATTTTGTATAAAGTTTTTAATATCAAGTGTTTGTATTAATCTCCCTGGCACGTAATCCCATAAAGCAATAAAATCATCGCCACCTGCAGAAAGTAATAAATCAGAGTCCCAAGGTAATATGTGTAACTTTGACAGAAATCTGTAGGAAAATAATGTCAAACCACGTCATCAATTAATAACATTAATAACATTTTACCTATTACAGCAACCATTGAACAAAATGACTTCTTACTGTGTATGACCAAAACAGTAAGATTCAATATTATATCCTTTTGGAAATTGACTGACGCGTATATGTTCGTCACGATCAGCTGTGATAACAAATTTATTGTTTGGTGTCAGCACCTATTATTTTAAAAAAAGTATTGAAAGAGGATTACAATATGAATTTATTACTGTAGAAATTGAAAATGTTGCTTTAATTTTTTTCATTACCATATCAGTGACCATAGATACGTGACCCAATAACAATGTTGAAGTATTTTCAATATGTTCTGGTGGATTTGTTGGATAACTATAGGTGAAATAAAAATCATTTCGTTATAAAATATTTTGCTTAATTTTTAAAATAAAATTCGATGATCACCTATAAACGTCTCCAAATTTATCCGCAGTCACAATTTGTGAGCCATCTTCACTGAGCGCAATGGACACGACGCGCTTCGGAACTGGTCTATAATCAAATGAGACTATATTTAAGTAATAAAATTATTTAAATCGGTACACTGTAAACTTTACCTCGAGCTGAGTAACCTCCATTCTTTAATATCCCAAACCTTCAAAAGCTTATCTTCACCACTTGACGCGAGTAAAGATCCATCTCCGTCAACTTTATTGTGAAAGGCAATGGCCCTTATGGAAGCTTCTTGCCCGTCAGTAGTAGGCGTAATATATTTTATTTGAGGTATTGTATCGGTATTATCTGAATATAAAGTACGTGTGCTAGCTATTATTGCACCTGTACTATAAATTTATAAAATTTAACCGTTAAGTATTCTTATTAAAGTTATATACGTGAAATTGGTTCAAAAAAAGAACGTGGACCTCGTATCTAATGCTTGAAAATGTGATCCATATACCAATATTAAAAGATTCCTTGTTAAATGATGAAGCAATTTTCCAAAAGGAAGTCGACATGCCATAATTCTTTAACAAAGATTTAACACATCGCTATGCTTATCATTTTAATCTACAAATTCACGTGAGTCTGAGTCAGGATTATCGTTATCAAATATCCAATATAGCAGCCAGGCCAAATTAAAAAATTTTACAAAATTGTGGGCCTAATGTGTAAAAAATAGTAAAGTGCGGGCCAAACATTTTAAAAACAAAATAATTAAATTTATTAAATTTATTATAACCTATATTAGAAGGGAGCCAATTTTCATACCCCCCACATTTAATAACTAAATTTTTTTTTATTTTGATTATATAATATTAGATGATTAGAATAAAAAAAAATTCATCGAATTTGGTCAGGCGGTTGTCGAGATATCTTTGCTCAAAAGTTTAAAAAACCACAAAATGCCTATCAAAATAATTCTTTAAACATTTGTACAAAGATATCTCAACACACAACTGACCAAATTTTTATTCGAATCGTCTAAATACATATAGTTCGGGACACCTAAAGGCGGAAATCACGTGACTTTGTCCCATTTTGTCCTAAAATTTAAAAATGTTTCAAATCGCACAAAAAATCGATTTTCGCTC